TTGTTTTCGTTGTGTAGAGGGTCCGGTGAATCACATATGATTTGTGCACGTCTTGTTAATATTCTGATTGTGGTGGCTTTGTGTGATGTAGGGTTGTAAGAATAATAATAATAATAATAATAATAATAATAAGAATAAGTATAAGAATTGCTTCCCTATCGACGATGTAAGTTTTCTTTTAAGAAAAAATTGTTCTTTATTCCATATTTGTTGAGTGACTTACTGTAATCCAAGAAAACAAAAGTATTTTAAAAAAACTTTCTCCATTACAGCTTTACCATGTCTCCTGCTATTAATGAGATAACCACTATAAAACATGGACAGATTTACTGAGGAGGGGTACAGGGGGGCACGCAACTTTAGATTTAACTCCCAAAAATAAATTGTACATCCCTGTCGTAAACATTTTAATTCCCTCAATTTTTAGTAAAACAAGTCAGTAGTACAGTTGAACTGAGTTTTTCTGGGCAATGTTTCAACTTTCTTTAATATCTTTGTTGGCTGCACTACCAGACCTCTACTAAAATCTACACTTTTATTGTCGTCACTTCTTTACCAATTGACTATTAAATTAGCACTTTAAACTTTAGTATTTTCTTGCGTGTAGCATTTACTGTGAAATAAAAAATTTCTCTTCCGAAGTCTTATGCTGTATATTGTGGAATAATTCTTGTGAAAACAAAAATTCTTTTATCAAATTGACTAATTTTCGTCAATTATTAAAAGAAAAAAGGTTAACTAGCGTGAGTTTATACACATGATATTTAATCATATAGTATTTCTAGTCACGCAGAGATCATATAACATTCTTCTTGAGATCAATACTTTCATTTTCTAGTCATCGTATTCATTGGAGAAGACGCCTTACGAAAATTTCGATAAAATTGTGCAAAGCATTTTCATCAAAAGGTAAATATCATGTATTAAGTATTTGTTGTTCGAATTTCAGTGACATAAGTAAAGTACATGGGAACGAACTCCTGAATTCACAGGGCCTGCCTTAAAGTGATTCTGTTATTTTCCTTTAGGCTTGTTTACGATATATTCCACTATGACTTTCACGAGTCAATAGATTGGCTGTCTCTCACTACATACCGTTCTCGACTACACTTTCAAACAAGTAAAAAACCTTTTTACTAATTTCTATAATTTCTGACAGAGGAACCCAACGAAGTTGATGATGCCAATTCACTTCAGGAAACAAATCGAGATGAACTAAATGGACTTGAATTAAGACACCTTGAGGTCTGCAATCTCTTTGAGGACAGCAGGCAGAATATGGACTGTCATTTTGATTTTATGTCGGTTCCTCCAGAGCTTTGATGACTGTAATTTGTTATGGCATGTCGAAATACGATTTGTCTTTTTAAAACCATTGAAATTGTTATAATGATCATAAATTTTACATCCATATGCAATTGTTTAGCAACCTCAATATTTGGGGGAGAACGTATTCATAAATGTATGTTCTGCAGAATTAAATTCTTTTTGAAATCCATTGTTTTCTATAGATTAAGATATGCATTCAAAAATTTCAACCCTCCCACCTTCCTCATCAACGAGTTTTGCTACGCCCCTGTTATGGAATAGACAGAATAAATTAGAACATAAATAGAAAATTTTTATCATTAGTCCATAGTAAAATGTAGACTTACTCAAGTAAGTTAATTAAGGTTCAAATATCGTCACGTCCAAGATTATGCCAATGTCATTAACAGGAAAGTACATACAGGTTAGAGATATTATGGGGAAAAAGAACTTGATATTTTTTTGTATCCAATAATTTCTAGTCAAAAAGGAGAGGCACCCTATCTGTTGTAACCAAATAACTTTTGTTGTCAATAAGTTGTTGGAATTTTCAAGGTTAGCCGAGAAGTTCATTAAATATTCAAAAAGTAACAAATTCAATAACCATTGGGAATAATCAAGCATTGTAACTGTACAATAACTTTATTCGTAAGTATGCTTAACATATTGGTCAATGGGCAATGTGTAAATTGGCTGTATTCAACGAAATTTTTTGTCCCTCTTTTTGTTTCTAAGCACAGTAGATGTGGGATTCATTGTATATATTAATCACATTCTGCTTCTCCTAGCCTTGATAACTTTCTTATGTAATCAACACCTAGGTCCTTTGGGCTATTAATTCTTGGAAAAAATGTTTTGAAAAAAATATTTTCTAAGATGTTGCTATTTCCGTAGAGCAAGTAATATAATGACTTTAAAAAAGTTATCTATAAAATGACTATTTTCAGCCTTCTAGAGATCTGAGTTTTCAAAGTTTTCTCATGATTTTGCCTCCTCAGATCATTTGCTCATCTAATCATCTAGAGCATATATTTCTTGAACTAAAAATTTCCATTGGAAAGAAAAATATCATGTATCACAACTTCGTAGAGCATTGTAAACCTTCGTGAGGGTCTGAGGGGATGTTATAGTAAAATGGCACGTGACATCATCAATGACATGCGTGGGGGCGATTAATGTGTGATAAAAATATGTCAATATAGCGTCGGCCTAGGGGCTTTATTTTTTTTTCTCCTCGCTTTGGCTTTGCCAATTGACCAGTAGCTTTAGACTTTGTACTAGAAATTAGTTTTTTCTTTTACAAAGAACTTGCTGTCCTATTATTTTCTTCTCACATTCTAAGTAGCCTTATGTCATTGTCGTGAGTTACATTAAGATCTGACCACGCATTTCACCAAAATATTTGACTGCTTCGAAATATGGACGAACAACTAACAAGCAATCATCGAAGGCAAACCCAGGCAGATTTTCGTGTACCTTTGACTTCTTCGACAGGTTTGGATGATTCATGAACTTTCTCTAAAATATATTCTTTTGAATATCTTATGTAGCGAAAATATTTTAGCATTTCGATATGATGTAAAGTAAATGGTTTGAACCGGGAGTATCGTTACATGTTTGTAAATGTAGATTGTCCAGGTTGGTATAGTCCTGAGAAGGACTGTTTTTGTTGTTGTTGACTGACATTTCGACAACCTTAGCAGTCGTCATCTTCACTTTGCAAACATGTACCAATACGATGTGTTGTTTGGAAACATCGAACTTGCGTAATAGCGTTGAATTATACAAGCATAGCTCATAGCCGAACCAGTTCTAGTTGTTTAGTGTTTGAATCACATCTTACGCGCTTTGGATGTATTTTGAAAGCAAATTTAGTGATATTCACATGTGAAAAGAATTATAATGTATTTCCGCTTGTAAAAGAAAACATCAGCAAGAAAATTCGTTTGCGGTTAGCAATATACTGAATATAGTGATGTTGTTCAATATTAATCACAATAATGGATGTTTGTTTAGGGTTTTGAGACTGGATGTAGTTTATGGCTTTGTTTTTCGTGGAGTCTTACTATCCTGTGTTTAAACAGTAGATCCAGGTGTTCCTATTGTAACAACTAGTAAAGGTTTATCGATTTATTCATCCACTTTATAAACGTCTTGCAAAGTTTTTACGTCGTCGTGTACACCATGTGCCATGTGTTTCGGCTTTGGAAGCCAACAACAATATTTTTGAATTTTGATTTGAATGCTATAATTTTAAGTCGTTCGAAAGTAATTTACTAAATTGGTGAGTGAACTATTGCCGTAAGTTCGAAGCATAAAATAAAAACTGTAGACGAGACTTGGGCCTGTTTCATACGTCGCATTTTACATGAGCCAAATACATTCAAAAGATAATGAGGAATTTTATCTCATTTTCTTTTGCCTCTAATGCATTCGGCGCATGTAAAATGCGATGTATGAAGCAGGCATTGGTATCTCATAATTCTCACTTGACAGCACGCTGAAGCACGAAAATTTTTTTTAAATCTTGTAAAAGTATGTCTTGTTGTCTTGACTCTTGAGGAAAAGTTTACTTCTTTAGACCCAGGTGAAAGTACGTAACACAACATACTTTTTCTTGACTGACCAAATTTTATAATGAAAAAATGGTGGCCACTTTTTAGGAAGTAATCAAAACAAAACGGTCTAGAAACTATGTTAGTAACGAATAAGTTATAGAATCAAAATTATTTTTATTAAGAGTTTTTGAAAAGTTCCATGAACTTTTGATAAATTATTGTAAAATTTCAAAAGTCTAAATGTAACAAGTTTAAAGCAGTAGAAAGTGAAACGTTTTCACAAATTATGTATTTTAAGCTGTGAACAAGCGGTTTATTGGTCTGTATCTAAGATACCGCGGTAGAAGGGGAGGGTCGGGGGGGCATACCATCACTTCTTCTATTTTCAAGTATTGAATTGGGTAAAATTCAGCGTCCTTTCAAGTATTGTATACTCTTGTGCTATTTAACCCCCTGTCTCTTCTCTCTCCACTTGAACAAGCTTTCTTCATGAAGGAGTGGCTGGAGTCCGTTGTTAGGTCAGTTTCAAACGTTGAACTTTGCATCAACCGATGCATCAAAAAGAAAAGAATGTGAGATAAAATTCTAATTGTCACGTGTTTTAATATTAAATCGTGCGAGAAAAGTTCTTACTCAAGCTATGCGCATTTGTTCTAAATATAAGTATTTTATTATAATTTTTGTTGATTTTCTTACACTACACAAAGCAGGAATGGCAGCCGGAGATGATTAGTCGTGCTATGCAAATATTTGTGTGGTTATTATTATATATACATCATTTTATACATGAATTAGATAAGTTTGGGTTAGCTTCATGGGGCTGACAAATGATTTTACATACGCATGTAGAAGTACCTACGCGAAAAAGATAAAGAAACCATCATATGTAGATTGCATTTTCTTAAAACATTGATATAATCACAATTAGTTATATAAAGCATCAATAAACATTAGATTTAAGGTCACAACATAAGTTTTTGAAAAAATTATTATAAAATTTAACTATCATAATTCATGCAATGAACGATTAGTTATTATCGTAATATTACAAAACTTGAAGAATACCTCAGAATCAATCATGCAAGTACTTTTTTGAATGAGCGTTATATAATCAGGCACAAATGATAACGAATGTTAGGTCTACAAACGTTTGTACGAATCATTGAAGTATATGCGTCAAAAATTTCACCACCATATACAATTCTTCTTCTAAATATTTTTTCGTCATATCAATGTAACAATTTTACAGTTCCTCACTTTCCTGGATTGGGAGAAGTGAGTTTATGGCAACATCTTGTTCAAAATCATGTAGTTCCTCACTTTCTTGGATTGGGAGAAGTAGGTTTATGGCAACATCTTGTTCAAAATCATGCTGTTCCTCACTTTCCTGGATTGGGAGAAGTAGGTTTATGGCAACATCTTGTTCAAAATCATGCTGTTCCTCACTTTCCTGGATTGGGAGGAGTGGGTTTATGGCAACATCTTGTTCAAAATCATGCTGTTTCTTACTTTCTTGGATTGGGAGGAGTGGGTTTATGGCAACATCTTGTTCAAAATCATGCTGTTCCTCACTTTCTTGGATTGGGAGAAGTGGGTTTATGGCAACATCTTGTTCAAAATCATGCTGTTCCTTACTTTCTTGGATTGGGAGGAGTGGGTTTATGGCAACATCTTGTTCAAAATCATGCTGTTCCTCACTTTCCTGGATTGGGAGAAGTGGGTTTATGGCAACATCTTGTTCAAAATCATGCTGTTCCTTACTTTCTTGGATTGGGAGGAGTGGGTTTATGGCAACATCTTGTTCAAAATCATGCTGTTCCTTACTTTCTTGGATTGGGAGGAGTAGGTTTATGGCAACATCTTGTTCAAAATCATGCTGTTCCTCACTTTCCTGGATTGGGAGGAATGGGTTTATGGCAACACCTTGTTCAAAATCTTGCTGTTTCTCTCTTTTCTGGATTGGGAGGAGTGGGTTTATGGCAACATCCTGTTCAAAATCATGCTGTTCCTCACTTTCCTGGATTGGGAGGAGTGGGTTTATGGCAACATCTTGTTCAAAATCATGCTGTTCCTCACTTTCTTGGATTGGGAGGAGTGGGTTTATGGCAACACCTTGTTCAAAATCATGCTTTTTCTCGCTTTCTTGGATTGGGAGGAAATGGTTTAAGGTAACATCTTGTTCAAAATCATGTTGTTCCTTGCTTAACTGGATTGGGAGGATATGGTTTATGGTAACACCTTGCTCAGTTGCGAAATTAGAATCTGGTAGATGAAGTAATCCCAAATCATGTGGAGGGATTAACATGTAAGGTAGATGGATGAGAATGAAGAGCTGTATTGAAATCACTTGAATTCGAGTCCATCGGATCAGAATCTTGTGGATTAGGAAAGTTACTTTTAAATATGAATCATAAGATAGAGCTGATAAATCAAAATGTGATGGATTTGGTGAATCAGAATGAGATTGATCAGGTGAATATGCTGAATCTGATTCAAATGAATTTGAATCCAATTCTGGTGGATCTAAATCAGTATCACATGAGCATGGCCAATCTGTTGAATGCAACACTGATGAATCAGAATCTAATTGATCTAATAAATTGGTTGTATCAGACTCCAACGAATCTGAATTGGAAAAATCTGATGAATCAGAACCAGATGCTTCAGGCACATCTTGTGCATCTGATTCAGGTTTTGAATCAAAACTGTTCACAGAATCAGACGAATCATTTGAGTTAGAAAGCGATGGATCTAAAGAATCAGAATCAGATGGATATGATAAATCTGATTTAGATGAATTTGAATCTGATTCTGATAAATGTAAAGAATGAGAATGTAATGCATCTTGTGGATCTGGTGGCTCGGGTGAAACTGGTGAATATGGTGAGCCTGATACAGGTGAATTTAAATAAGATAGACATGGCAAGCTTCTTGAATCCAAATCTAATGAGTCTGAATTCAACAAATCAAGGGGATCGGGATAAGATGAATATGGTAAATCAGAAGCAGGTAAAATAGTAGAGTCAGACTTCCATGGAACATTTGAATCAGAGTCACGAGGATTTGGTGAATTAGAATCAGGTGAATTTGATTGAGATGAGTTGGATAGAAATGAATTTGGATGAGAACTTTCGCCAGAATTTGAAAAATCATTTGAATTGGACAAAATATTTGAGTGAGAATTAAATGAATATGTTAAATATGGATAAGATAGATCAAATGAATTAGGATTGGATGAAACAGTAGGATTAGATTCCAATGAATCATGTGAATAAGTATCAGATAAATGTAGTGAATCAGAACCAGGTTGATCTGGTAAACTAGAATCAAATATATCAGGTAAATCTGATTCAAATGGTTCAGATACCAACAAATCTAGTGATTGAAAGAATTCTGAATTGGAGAGATTAATTGACTTGGAATCAAGTGAATGAGGTAACTCAAAATAAGAAAGGCAAGGTGACCTGGCATGAGACTGATTTAGTGTTTTGAACTTGGATTGATCCACAGACTCTGAAACAGTTGAATCTGATTCCTCAGAATCCATTAGATCAAGTGACTTGGGAACCTCAATATTACACAACTCTGAATCCAAAGTTTGGAGTGAATATGAAACTGATTGGTTGTTTGCATCCAAATGTGAATTATGTGAAAGATCAAAAGACATAGTATCTGATTGATTTGGTGAATGAAAGTGATTGTATGAGTTGGATTCTGATAGATTCAATTCAGAAACAGAAGGAAAAAGTGACTTGGATTTGCATATATTTGATGACTTAGAATTTGATGGATCATCCCTCTCTTGTATGTTTTCAGGCTCTTTTTTACTTGGAGATTGCAGAAGATAAGGAATTGTGCTGACAGTGTCTTTGTCATCAATTTGGTCCAAGTCGCTTGGACATGAATTGAATGCTTCAGTGTCTAATGTTCTGGACAACTGAAAGTCATATTGATGAGTTGGTATAAATGAATCACAACTTTGAAGTTCATTGGATGACACAGGAGTAAGTGAATTTTTGTCTATATCAATATGTTCATCATTGTCTTGAGTAGCAGTTCTAAAATGGAACCCACTAACTTGGTCAAACTCCTTCTTTCCATACTCTTCTCCATCTTTCCATATAGTATGTGCTGTCGGCTGGATAGAGTGATGACTGTCCATATTATTTCCTTTATCATCATCATTGTCCAAGTCATATGGGCAAGAATTTTCCCACTCATATTCAGGTGGAATGCTTGAGTTCAAGTTTGATGAGTAGAAATCTGTTGAAGGCAGTTTCAAATCAGGTTGACCATGTAGAATCAAGTGATTCAGTACAGAATCAAATGGATTAATTGAGTCAGCTGTGTGTGAGTGGCAAACCTCTTCAAGTGATGTTGGTGTGTTTACTTGACACAAATAAAAATTTTTACCAGTCATTGTTGATTTGCATGTTACATCATCAACATATTTCTTCATTTCTACAGAAATATATAAGGTCTCAGAGTCTGTTCCATGTCATTTACAGAGGCAAATACAATATGAAATGAGCAATTAAAGATGAAAATTAAAGTTGACCCATGGTTATTGGTATCTCCAAATAAAATTTCAAGGTATGTTTTTCTATCTTGAGTCCTCTTTTAGGGGAAAATTTCAGAATAGGAAAATTGAAGAAACCGCGCCATTTGTAACTGCAATGTGACTCAATAACCAAAACAATTGTTAATAACATCCTATCGACAAAAGCAAATAGCATTTTTAAAGATACTACGAAAATTCACCTGAAATTCCCCTTTTAGTTTGCGATGTCAATTGCATTAATAAACTTGTTAAACAATATTTCCCCACACATTTTTGAAATTTTCATGAATTATCACATTGAGCTCAGTATTTATTTAATCATTTACCGGCAATAAAAAGTCATAATTGAAAAATAAAGTGGGCAAATCGTGAGCATGATAAGATTAGATGACGCAATTTTCAGTACTACAATATATACACTAAAATCGTCCTAAAAGTTTGAACTCCAGCTGAAATCAACTTGATATAAGGTAGAAAAGCATTTGTTGTGTGATACTTTCGTCAATTTTACAAGTTTGGCAGATATTTTGAACGGTTTACGGAAATTTACGTAAATAGAAATTATGTATTGAAATTCACAGCCCGAATGAGCGGTGAATCAAGTTTCTTACCTTAAATGAAGTGTTACTCTACTTTTAAACAAAATTCGAATCCTGGCTTCGAAGCAATGCCAACGTTAACGAGCGATCGATGAAATCCTTTGAGATATGAACACTCCTTTTAAAATAATTTTGACAAGCAAAATGTTATGCTCCGACAGCATGTAAGACCCTTGTACCTTTAAAGGTGGGTGGGTCATGGAATTGATCATAGCCAATGAAATGCACAAAAAATGAACTATGCAGCAAGGTTTGCTTTCGCGAGTATATCGAGAAGAACTATAAAGAAAATATCTTTTTAAACTGTGTTGGAATTTGTTTTTAACATTATTGTTGGCTGGATTGTAATATGTTATCATATGTAATAGAAGATTATAAGTAAGGTCAATTGTTTTCTAATTTAAGGTGGATCACTACTAGACGATTTTTTGACGATCGTCTTAAAAATTCGCTGCGCCACATCTGCAGTACGAATTGCAAATTGCAATTTGAAATTGAGAAAATGGGGGGTGTGAATCAAACTTTAATGCATTTATTTACTTCATCGAAGGCATTTGATTTTACTTACTGATCTGATAATAGACTGGATATAGCTTTTACAGGTAGCTAAAGTGAAGCAATTATATATGCAAAATTCACTTCCGATAAAAAAAGTGACTCATCTCATTACTAAAGAGCTGAAACGTATACTAGATCATAAATGTCTCAGAAATTGGAAAGCGAGCAGTGAACCATCTTGCATTGGCAACGATGGGACAAAATGCATTCTCGCATGTACAACTTTCAAATCAACACTAACGTCGATATTTTACAGCAAAAGGAATCATTTTGCTGTCAAATCGATTCGCATAACCTTTTTTATCCATGACTAATACTTGAGGTTAGTAAGGAGTCGCGAAAGGTCTTAAATATTCGAAAATCCATGTTTGTAAACGTTATCCGCCATACATTTCTATAGTAATTTGTATCTCGCCGTGGTACACGGAAGTGAATTTTGCATATATAATTAGGCTTCACTTTTGATACGTGTAGAAGCTATATCCAGTCTATTATCAGATCAGGATTTTACTTAATGCATATAGAGTAAGATCCATGAAAACAAAGCGAAAACCACCAAGATTTTGGATACGTAAACTGTACGAGGAAAGAAATGAGAAAGGAGAGTACAGTTTGCTGGTTAATGACTTGCGATTATACGATCATGAAATGTTTTTCAGATATTTCAGGATGTTACCTGACACTTGAGACCGACTGGGGTATATTGCCCCGATGATAAGTAAGAAAGAGACAAAAATGCGAGAACCGATAAGCGTAGACCAAATACTTTTAGTCACTCTGCTCATACAACTATCGCTGCCATGTATAGAATGAGCTCAACGACTGTTGGCCGAATTATCTACGAAACATGCAACGCACTTTGGGACAAACTAAAGGAAATGGGGTTCATGAAAACACCTTGCACTGAAAGTGATTGGAAAAAAGTATCTAAAGATTTTGAAGATCGATGGAACCTCCCTAATATGCTGAGAGCAATTGATGGAAAACATGTTCAAATGTTTGCTCCTGCTCGACAGGCATCAAGGTTTTTAAATGCAAAAAGACTCATAGCATTGTTTTGTTGGGAGTTTGTGATGCAAATTATAAATTCACACTGGTTGATATTAGTGATAGTGGGCGGCAAAGTGATGGCAGCGTGTATGCCAAAAGCAATCTTGGCTATGCTATTGAAAACAAGCTTCTCAACATGCCCACAGATGGCAAGATTACCCATTTAACAAAAGTACTGCCCCATGTATTTTTAAAAGGAAATGACATCACATTGTATAACTCTTAACTAAATTGTTAATCTTGTGACCAACTTACTTGTTGTTCCGCGAGAGAAGATAGCACATGTTATGTTATGTTAAAATACATTTTCTCAATTGTTATGTTGTACGGTTGTATGATTCTATCTGCCTATCAGTAAGAAACCTCTTCTAACAGGTTATGGGCCCAGGACACTAGAACGTCTGGGTAGTATCGAAGATTTGAGTTTAAAGCAATGAAATGTTTTAAATAAGTGAGACTGAAGCGTGCAACAATATGGCGATGTCCCCGACTTTGTATTGAAAATGACAAAGCTGAATGGGACAAACTATCGCGACTGGGCATTTAACATGCGATTACACCTCGAAAGTTTAGATCTATTTGAACATGCCGATGGATCTGCAGAAAGTCCTGCTGATGATGCTCCTGAAGCCGTTAAAACGAAGTTTATATCTTCCGCGAAGAAGGCGTGGACTTACATTTGTTTGGCCGTTGAGCCTGAACAACAAATTCATGTCCGGGAAACGAAAACAGCGAAAGAGGCTTGGGACGCCATAAAAGCCCAATTTGCACGAGAGTCAATTTTGCTGAAAATCAAGTTAAGGCAGCAGTACTTTTCCTGCGAATTCCAGTCTGAAAGTAATATGTTGCAACATATCAATCACATGCATTCACTTCATGATCAAATGCGAGAGATGGGGATAAGTGTAAATGACAAGGAATTGGCGATGACCTTGTTGGCAAGTCTGCCTGATGAGTACAAACCTCTGATTACCGCATTAGATGCTGTTGGGGAAGATAGCTTAACGTTTGAAAAAGTCAAAGGCATGTTGTTGAATGATGTGGACAGAATGGGTGATGAAAAAAGGTATGAGGATGCCTATTCCGTTCAAAGAGGTAGATTCAACAATGACAAGTCAACTTATGGAAAAGGGAAAGAACGAAGGGATTATAAGACACAATTTAAAGGAAAGTGTCACAACTGTCGTGTAAGAGGGCTTTTGCTCGTGACTGTCTAAAGAAGAAGGTCCTCGACGACAAGAACAAGAAAAGTAATGAAAGAAAGAAAGGTGAATCAGCTAGCTGTGTAGAGAAAGAGGATGATGATAATATGGTGGAAGACGAAGCATTGTATACCTCGAGTTCATGGAATAATGACTGCTGGATAATCGACTCAGGTGCCACACAGCACATGACCTATAATAAGAGCAATTTGACTGAATATGTTCAATTTTCAAATCCATCAATTGTTAATCTTGGAGATAACAGAAGTATTCTTGCATATGGTAAAGGGGTTTGCCGTATTATTGCTGATGCAAATGAAAGACCTCAGAAGATAAGTTTGCAAGATGTGTTGTATGTACCAGATCTTGGTAGGAATTTGCTTTCTGTAAGAGCCATGGTCAAGCTTGGAGCATGTGTTACTTTCAGAGATGATCAATGTGAAACCCTTAGAGGTACAAAGTTGTTGGCAAGTGGTATAATGCTGGAAAAACTGTATGTATTGAAAATCATTGAAGGTAATTATGTGAATGTTGCAATAGATGATAACTTAATGTTATGGCATTATCGTTTTGGTCACCTTGGAATGAACAATGTTTCAAAATTGCTGAATGATAGTATGGTTATTGGCATGGATACTACGCCTAAGGAAGAATCTCCATGTGAGGGATGCATTATGGGTAAGCATCATAAATCCAAGTATCCCAAAAAGGAAGCAAAGCGTGCAACTAAATCGTTTGAATTGGTGCACAGTAACGTTTGTGGACCGATGTCAACAAATTCACTTGGTGGTTAAAAGTATTTTGTTCTTTTTATTTACGATATTTCAAGGTACACTTATGTTTATTTCATTAAGAACAAACATGAAGTATTGGAGAAGTTTAAAGTATTTAATGCAATGGTTTTAAACATCACTGGTTGTTCAGTTAAAGTTTTACGGACAGACAATGGTGGGGAATATTGTTCCAAAGAATTTAAAGAATTCCTTAAGCAGAAAGGAATTACACATCAACTTACTGTGCCGTATAATCCAGCACAGAATGGTGTATCGGAACGAATGAATCGCACACTTGTAGAATCAGCCAGATCAATGTTATCACACAGTAATATGCCGTTACAATTTTGCGCAGAAGCAGTGAATACAGCTGTCTATCTGAGAAATCGAAGTCCGACAGTATCACTTAATGGAGTTACGCCGTTTGAATGCTTGTTCAATAAAAAACCAGATGTTTCTAATCTGAGAGTATTTGGATGCCTAGTTTACGCTCACATGCCTGCAAGTTAACGAAAGAAATTTTCAGAGAAATCAAAGAAGTGTATTTTTATCGGATATCCTGAAGGGACGAAAGGCTACAAATTATTTGATGTACTCAGTCAAAAGTTTTTTCGAAGCAGGTATGCTGTTTTTCTTGAGAAAAGATTTTACGACTTGAAAGGTAATGAAAACAAACAGTTCTGTAACTTTTACACTCCACTAGAAGAGAAGATTGATGAACCACATGAAATACCAATAGAAGAATTTGCTCAAGAAGAAAATAACGAAATTGAAAACCCAGTTCAAGCAGATCAGCACCTTCAACCAGTTGGAGTGACATATGAAGAAAATTTTCTTAGAGAAACTCAAAGCCTTCCAGAAAAAGAATGTCTAGACCTCCCAACAGATTTGATGAAGAGAATTACTTCTCACAAAGCTTGACTGCTGACATCAACGCATAGTTTCTAGAGGTTGGAACCCACCCCTACATAAACATACCCACCCCAAATTGGTAACCCACCCCTACATTTGGGTCCAAAATTTCCTTACCCACCCCTACATACGAGCCGAAAAAAAATTCGTTTTTTTCTACGGGAAAGCTGATTTTAGACTTATTTATGGTCTCTCTGTGCATACTATATACAACACTGATAAAGTCTATGTATTCACTAATATTGTCAATCAAGCAAGTTCACCAAACTCGCCAATGGCTGATGCAATCAATGGCTGATGCAATAACATGTTGTCAAATTAGGGAGATATTTTTGTTCCCTTATAGGGTAATATGAAGATAGATGATGCAATAACATGGGGGCAAAAATTGAGTAATGTTGAACTTTGAAGTTATTAACTTTTTTTATCATAGATGCATTTCATCTATTTTTTAATTTTTCTAATAGGGAAAATCTCGGAACCCACCCCTACATAGACATACCCACCCCTAGAAATTCAAAATTTTTTCGACCCACCCCTAGAAGGCATTTTTGAAAATTCCAAGACCCCCCTAAATTTAGGGGTGGTAGAAACTATGCAACGAACCATGTAACATCCAAGAAGCTTGGAATGGTGA